TGAAGCGAAAAAGAAAGAATTGCGAAGTTTTCCACTGGCTGACTGCTAACGGAAATTTTTGCCCGGGCAGGCACAAATTTATCATTAAGAAATCTTGGTGGCATTAAAGCTTACCATTATGAGCCTCCACCACCAAGGCGACTCCCCTACATCAGCCGGTGGAACTAGCGCAACCAGAGACGTGAGCACTAATCACTTATCACTCTGAAGTAATCATATTTATGGGTCTATTCATGCAATAAAGCATCGTCTTCTTAATAAATGTTCAGTAGAGAAATTTTTCGCTGCACTTTCTGGTTGATTAAAATTTCAAATTCTGGTACAATAAAAGAATTGGTGCTGAAAATTTTATCTCGATGATTGATTGATAATGATAAAGAGAGTTTCATCCATACAAATGAATGAGTGAATAAAAAATTACTGTGGTGCACTTTCACTTGAATTATTGCCAAAACAATTAAAGCATAATAATTCAACTCGCTGTTTCAAATAAAATCATTCCTTTAAAAGCTTTTGTGCAGCGATTCTCCGGCAAAATTTAATTTTTGAAAAAAATCGAATGTTGAGAATCTAAATTTTCTCAAGATTTTATTTTTAAAATATATAAATTTTTCTTATAAATTTGCTAAAATTTTAAAAACGCAAGAATCATTGCTAAATTAAAAATCAGATTGTGCGGTATGAGTCCCTTTAAAATCTATCGAAAAATAAAAAATGATCTACGAAAAAATTTGATAATACGAAAATTATAAAATTATAACGAATACGATAAAACAAAATGTTCATTTTCAAAAATAATCGTTGAAAAAATTCAAAAAAACGTAATTATTTCATAAAATTTTTTAAAATATTTTACTGCTTTGTTGGAAAAGTAATCGTTGTAATCATAAATCGTTGACATTTCAAGAATTTTAACAATTTTTTCATTAATATTTCAAGAGGTAACGCAAAATTTTCAAGTTCTTCTTATTACCACTTATCACATTCTTATCAAAATTCCGCCAAAATTCCAAGCAAAATTAGGAAGAACATTGATAATGGTGAATAAAAATTTACAATTCTGTCGATTTTAGTAGTGCCAATTAAAACATTTAATATAGAATAGTTAAAATATATTTTTAATATTCGCTGTTTTCGGATTTTTTAAAGAAAGCTACGTTTTTTATGTAAGTTTGACAAAAATTCTAACACAATTTTACGTTTTTTCTGCAATGAACGACTTGGTGTTTAGCTCTTTGAGATTTCAAAAGCTGAATAACATAAACAAAAATAATAAATTTTATTTTTAATTTTTTTTTATAATTTTTTATTGCAAGACAAAAGTAAGAAAAATCTTATTAAGAAAAATTAATTGTTTCTGATTAATTGCTTCTTTTGAAAATTTTTCATTTTTCAGAAATCGTGCAAAAATGACCAATCAATTTTCGCATAGAAATTTTTGAAAAAATTTAGGAAAATCGTTTCAGTTATAATTAAAATTTTAGTAAATTTTTGAATCCCAACTTTTTCATGACTTTTCGAATGAAAAACTTTAAATTTTCCTCTTTTGCGACTCATTTTTTAAAAATTTTCTTAATAATTTGCATTAAAATCAGCCGCATTAAATTCATACGAAAATTGCACTTAATCGAAGTGCAAGTAAGTTTGATTTGATTCGTATATAGAAAGAAGAGAAAAATAAATGTCATGAAAAAGGGTTCAACTGATCAAAAATTTAATTTAATCAAAGGTACGTAATAAAAATACAAAAGCATATCGAATGCTTGATTATGAATAAAATCTAAAATATAACATGGAAACGATTAAATATAAAAAAATTTTTATATTTTAATGAAATGAGGAAATGCCAAATGTTAAGTGAAAATAAATAAAGGGTGGCCTGAGCGAGTTGCTTCTTTGATCCGACTTGAGCCAAACACAGCCAATTCGATTCTTGTTCAATTGTCCACTATTGCCTAAACTAGTACCTCTTGGCTTTTAATGTCGAGTTTTTTGCCAAAGAGTCACTTGGAGATAAAAGGTGAATCCAGCGCACCGCTCGCAATTTCTAATGCCGATTTTCATCAACTCTGCTCTACCGAATTTTTTATTACCATGCAGTTATTACAATCAGTTGTTCAACTTTTATATTGTCTGCATTCAAAGATGAATCGTTCAGCACAGAACTTGCTTAATCTCAAATGAAAAATTAATTGTCAATATATTTCTAAATAATCGTTTCAATAACAAATGTAAATCTATTGAAAATCTTTTTTTTTTATTTTCAACAAAATGATAGAAATGATTGTTAAATGTTTTTGCGCGATGAGAAAGACCTTGAAAGAAAGAATAAAGAAGAAGGGAACACGCTGATTTTATATTTATATTTATTTTATTTTATAGCAGTGTCACCGCCGAGAAAGTGAAAGGAGCTTCACTTCGGTGACGCCGGAGATCCGCTGGTCCACCTGCACGGAAATTACTCATTCTTAGCGAATCCAGTCTGTAATTAATATTAATAAACATTGTTGAAGAAGGCATATCGATTGCTACTGAAAATTTTCCTCGGAAAAATTTTCAACAATAATTTTTTATTTGTCTAAAAGATAAACGCGTTGTAGGGTTCTTATTGACTTTTCAACAAATCATACCTCTATAAAACTTGTTTAAATTTACTTACAACAACCAATCATCGTTCTTCTTTTTTTTGTCGTTCATTTAAACTCGAAAAGATTTTAAAAGATTTTTTTTTACGTCTTCTTCAAGGTTACTTTATGGTTACTTTCCATGCAAATTGAATTTATTTTCATCTGAAATAAATAAAATAAAAATTTTATTAAATAATTTCGCAAAATTTTTGCATTAAAAAATCTAAAAAAAAGAAAGGAAAATTTCAAAGTTCCGTTAAAATTTAAATTTCATTTAAAAGTTGTTTTTTTTTTATTGAAATGATAAATTATTGTTATAAAAAATTTAATTTGGAATTTACATTTGGAATTTACATTTTAATTATAATGATTCTAATTCTAATTATAATGATTCTTATTTTATGGGGATAGAATGGCACATTGGAAGATTACTGCTTTCGTATTGAAATGCTGTGGTTCCATCTCAGAAAGAATAAACCGTCATGCATGTCCAAAACAATTGTATTTCTTATTAATTGAAAAAAAAAGCGATCCTCGCACAATTTTCTTCCACAAAACCACTGAATGAATGCAATAAAATTTGAATATTTTAAGAAAACTATTTATGCAAACCAATTTAATGAAGGGTTCAATAAAAAGAGAAAAATTTCTCGGTGAATGGTGAAGGTCTAAGGACCACATCTTTAGAATTATTGAATACAATTTGAGTATTCCCTAAGCATTGAATCGCAGAAGTGTAATTGAATAAGTAAAAATTGCGATGACCATGGGAAGACTTTTGGCTGGGCAATAAGGTGATTTTTACGTGAGAAAGAATCCTAGATGGGTGCAATACGTGTGCACTATAATATTACGTGATATCTGAAAGATAAACGAAGAAAATTAATGAGTCGTGTGTCGTGCAAACACATCGAACCGGGCTGGTTCCATGATTCCCGTTACGGCAGTCGCAGACACGGAAATAGCAACACGGTCGGAGATATGAATAAAAATGAAAAATGAATAAGGGAAAAGGGTAAACGAAAGAACTTCGCCTCAATTGAGCTTACCACCTGATACCTGATAAGTACTCAGTAGTACCACTGCAGATACTACTGCAGGCATTCTTTATTACTATATTCGTTCCTGGGGATTCCTCCACCCCTTTGCGAAATCACGAAGTAAACTGTAGAGTCAACAAGCAAAAAATCAAAGAATCTGATAAAGGTATAGCCGCTGAAATATGGCCGCAGCTGTGACTTCCTAAATTGTTCCCAAAATACTATATTGCAGTCACTCGAAATATTTTTTTGGAAATTTTTTTCATCAATTATTGTTATTGTTTTCTTATTTGCTGGAATTTGTTTAATTGACGAGACTTTTCATAAGGCAATCCTGAATATGTAAGTGCCATGCTTTTTCACTTTGGAATTACAGGAAAATCCTATAAAACGAATAAATGTATTCGGCCGACTTTTAGTACTCATTGAATTCCTTTTTTAATAATTTACAAAAAATTTTATAAATTTATTCCCTAAACGAATGCATTTTATGGAAGTCGATGAACTGAGAATATTTTATCGGTGGCGCTGTTGCATGGACGTGGGTCACTTTCTCGTTCTTCTAATAGCCCGCACCGTCGTTGATTTGGTTCGCTGCACTGGCGATGGTACTAAACCACTTCCTAGTCCACCGCCGTGAAAGGCTGCACACCACTTTTTTCCCTTTTTTGTGCGCCACCTACACGTTCAAAATCTCCTTTGAGCGTATGGGTCTTAATTGGTCCTCTACGCTTTCGGTGTTATCAGAGCTTAGCGAGTCTGACTATCTCACTGGCCAAATTGTAATTTCCAGTGTCCTTGAAATTTCAGGCCAAAAAGTCAGATATCTTGTTAAAGCGGAACTGAGATTTTACTTGTCTGTGGCCCTCAACAGGATGTGAATTTTGAAGCTTTGAAGCGATTCTGGAGAGGTTTCGCCAGATGAAGGAGTGATCGTCTGGCTTCAGCTGTTCAAGCTGGAATTTATCTACTACTTGGTCATTTGGGAGAGAATGGATCGAAGATATTTGGAATTCTTTTTTTTGAGTTGATGAATTTAAATTATTTGAATTGCGACGTGGTCAGCTTCTGGTATATATAACAAAAAGAATTCCGTCTTATTTACGTCGATTTTAAGGCCATTTTTCGCCTTTGCCCACATCCAGCCTAGCGTGAATGCTCGTTATTGGGGAATTTGCCACTGTCTTACACCATTTTCTACGCACTGAATTTGATTGAAATTGATTGATTATTTAGTATAATCACCAACGAGCAGATGACAACTAAGCATATTCGAGAAGGTTTTGAAGGTTATTTTTCATCATTTCTTTATTTTTAGATCAATTAAACGTTAATGAACTCAAATCGGCAATCAAACGATGATGGATTATTCGTGAGTAAAATTATCGATTTTCGGTTAGATTTTTTTCATTATTTCTTTATTTTATATAATTTTATAATTTTATGAGGTGGAATAGCTCAGTCGGTTGTTGTTTTCATTTCGGAGCGTCAATGATGGGCTTCTTCTTGTGAAAGAGTGAACCTGATTCTAAAAAATCCGAATGGTGCATGCCACCCACTTGTACTCCCAAGTACTTCCGAGCAACCCCTTGCAAAAATCTTTAGACGTAGTAAAGAGATGGAGCTAATAGGGATAAGAATTTTATTTTGCGATATTTTCAACAGATAATTTCTAATCTCATAAATTCCTTGGAATTTTAGACCAAAAGGTCAGATATCTCACTTGTGTTCAAGCGGAGCTGAGATTTTACTTGTTTGTAATTCTCAGCAATTGTTGCACATTTCGTTACATAATCTTAGCGAAAATATTGGTTCGTCATTTGAAATTTTTATCGTTCTTAATCTTTTTTTAAAGTAGCAGAGAAACTGCAAATCTAAAACAGGGAGGCTGAAGGAAGTATATTTTCGAATTTAAATTTTAACGAGCATCGTTAATACTTGAGTGGTGGTTTTTTAGATTTCCATTTAGAAAGTTTTTGACTTGGATATAAAACTTTTACTTCAAGCTTGTAATTAATTAAAATTTTTGTAATACTGAAGTAACGGCTTTTTGAACAGTAGTGCTTGTTGCTTTTCAATTAGTAATGCTTTTTTGTCCTATTCATTTTTCTTGCCCTAAAAATATCATTTTAAGATATTCCGATACCTCTCTCAACTCATGATCGAATAGCTCACGTACATTTAAGCACCAGTGGCAGACATGCTATCGTTACCTCTACTGGAAGTGAAAGTTTTTATGTGAATCTTTCATCTAATCAGTGGAAGCCGTTGAAAAGATTAAAAGTTTAATTTATTTGCTGTTTATTTATATGGTTTTTTTTATTCATAATGCGGTGTATTTATTTCTTGTTGATTATGGGGACTACTTTGGCCATCAAAATGAGTGCCCTTCACCAGAAAATCTCTTGTGGATGGAAGCACTTCGCATCTCTGCGGATTTTAGTTTAATGATAGTTTTGTTTTTATCAATAAGTAAAAATATAAGAGTTTCGTATTTATAAAATCATTATTTAAGTAATTACCGGAAAAGTAGCCATTCCACAGAAAATTTTAGCGTAAAATTAACGAATTTTTTGCAAAATTTTAATGGTTAAAAATTTTGAGGGCCATGTGATTAGCGCTGTTGGTTGGAATCTTGAAGCTCCAGATGAATATGATACAGGGTTCATTGTCGCTGGGACAACAAAAGGTTTTTTTCTAATTTTCATCTTTTTTTTTGCTTTGAATAGTTGTACTGATTTTGAGTTCTTTCATTTTTTAATTATGTAGGAGCTGTTATTGAACTGCTGATTCAATCTAATGGAAATCTAGTGTATGCTAAAGAAATAACTCAGAACTTAACTAATGAAAAGGATCTTCCTATTACAAATATTGAACTTCATAACTGTGAAGAAGATGGTGATAAACAAAAGTATTTTTATTTTATGTTTCCGTTTATTCAGTCTGTACATCAAAGTGCCATTTTCTACGGTGAAAAGTATTACCGAAAAATTTACCTATTTCTTTAATGCCTGTTTATCAGGATTTTTTAAGCTTGGCACTTTTTTTTAGGTGGGCAATTCTTATATGCAGTCCAGGACGTCTTTATTGCTTAGCCGATCATATAAAAATAAAATCAGATCAAATGCCGTTAGTGCAACCTGTTGTTGGTTCTATATGGAGCTCAGCTTTTGTAGAACATTCAACCGCCATTCTGCAACCGCTTTTCACTTCAAAAGGTTTATTCAAATCCATCAAAATAGGCTTTTTTTTATTTAATAATCCTCACCATTACTTGTTAAGCTCGCTCCACTGGTTTGTCGCATTGGACAAATATGCCAAGGAGTCTCTTGGCGATAGAAGTACAGGTGAGTCGCCAGCATCACCCGGATTTTTGTACAGGTTTACTCCTGGGGAAATCGAACCTCAACATCAGCGCTCGCAATTGAACAACAATCTACTGAGTCATTCTATCCCCATCAAAATAGGCTTACAAATTGATGATTAATTTTTTAATGATAAATTAATTTTTTTTTATTAGGTGCATTGCGTTATCATTTTATGGACGATTCACAACGAACATTGCCAAGCACATTCATCACTTATCCAGTTTCAACTAGCCAACCGCCATCAAAATTTTGTTGGGTTGGAGCTAGCGGATATACGCTTGGGTCTTTAGATTTTACTCAGTCCGATTCGTATAATATGTTAATAGAGGATGTACACATAAAGTATATTATTTTTCTTGTTTATACCAGTCCATAGAATTCTCAATTTCATTTTATTTATGTTTTAGTGATAGATGTTTTAGTGAAATTCTGTTTAACATTAAAAATTTATTTTTTCAATGAATTTTTGAATATCATTTCTTTTTTCATTATGTGGTTTATTTTTTAGACATAAATTGGTCAATGGAAGATATGACTTTCCTCTTGATGTGGCCCTTACCGAATATCACGCTCTTTTCTTGTATAGTAATCGCTTAGAAGCTATTTCAATATTAAATCAGCAGTGCACATTCGAAGATTTTATGACGGTAGATTTTTAAGATTTTATAACGGTTAATTATTTCTTGTTAAATGCTTCAATATTAGAATTGAAACTTTTCAAAGTTCTGTCTTGTTTCAGTGCAATATAATCTAGATACTAATAATCGAGCTGGCTAATTGAATTGAAGATTGAATTTAAATTAAACCTGAACCCAGTTAGATGCAGTGGGCTAATCTTATTAAAATTTATTTTTATTAAAGGTAAAAACTAAGTGAATAATCTTTTTTTCTTTTTACCATTAATTACTGCAATAAATTTATATATATATATATACATAATCCCAGCTTTAAAAAAATTTGAATAATATCATTATTAAATATTTAAATATTTATATATTTCATTATATGCTCTAAGTTCGAAGTTGTGATAATTTTTCCATTATTTTTTTTTATTTTATTATTCTGAAATAAAATGCTGGATTATGGTACAGTTATATGCAAATAATAAGTCCATAATACTTACGTCTGTTCTTAGCTTTAGGTTACATTTCATTTTTTGTTATACCAGTATTATCAATTTAGTTTCAGCTGACATTTCCTATTAATGGCGCTTGTCACCATATTTATTTTCAAATGCTAAATTGAAAATGCTAAATTTTTTGATCATACATTATCCGAATAATTTTTTCAATCGTCTTAAGCTGGCTAATATTTAACTTAAAATTGGTTTTTAAATTGGATCAGTTTCCCATCTAAATTTTTTATCTTAATGGCATTACTATTTTAATGGAAAGAATATGTTTCAACTCTTAAGTTTTTAAGTTAGTTTTTGTATTTTTAGAATATTTTAGAATTCTGGGCAACTTAAAGGAATGTGTCAAAATCAAACTGCAAACATAATTTGGGTATTCACTGAGTCATCAATTTGGAAGTATAAACCAAATGAAGAATCAAGGTATTGCATTTGATATAATAATGCGTTTTCATATATAGTTTTATTAATTTATCTTATTAATTTTTAATTTCTATTATTTCTATCAAAGATGAAGTTTATTTTAAAGAAATGTATGGCGAATATATTTGGATCGAGGTGAATATGGTAAAGCAAGGGCAATTACGAGTAAGTTAAAAAACCGTTCACCATACCAACTTGTGATCAAGAAAGAAGCGGAAAAATTCATAATGGAGAAAAAGTATGTAAAATTTCTTGAATAAATTTTATTTTATATATGTAATGCAGTGTTATTAAAGTGATTTTGCCGATAAAAATTTCATTTCGATGCCCAGATTCGGTGAGGGATATTTTAGTGAAATTTTAGTTACACTGCAGCTGCTGAAGTGCTAGCTGAATCGAATGAACCATTTGAAGTAATAGTTTTAAAATTCCTTTCTATAACCGATGATAGAAGAAATGGTTTAAAGCGTTTTTTGGACTTAAAGTTAAACTCTATGAATACAAGAGAGGTATTTTTCGACTCTTTTTGAATTAATTTATTAGATATATATCTTCACGTTTCAAACATTATAACAGTGCTTTTTCTTGAAAATAATGAATATGAATATGAACGAAATCTTTATTAAATTATATGTTATGCATAATAATGCAAGTTTTTATAGGGAAAAGCTCGACGTGATGCAACTGTTTTATGGCTGCTTGAAGTTCAATTGTCTGAATTAGCTGAGTTAAAAAGGATGGAAAAACCTCCTTCGTTAAATTCAAAAGCAGAAACGATTGGAAATCTTTCTTCGTCTGAAGTTCATCTTCGCAATGTCCGGCAGCAGCTCGAACTCTTTTTGGCAAGGCCTATTGTTCTGGTCAGTTTTTTGACCAATTTCATTGTTGTCCAATAAAAGTTGTCCTTATAATTTACCAACATTAGTTTAATGCATTCTTTTCTGCATGAAAGGGTCATCAAATTTCTTAAAGGTTTTAAATTTTTTGTTGTAAGAAATTAAATAACATTATGGAAATGAACGGATTCTACAGATTCTCGCAATTTATCAATATTTTCTTCTGTTTTAAATAATTTAGAATAAAACAATTTTCTCTCGTTACTTCGCAATTTTTTTATTTTTATAGTATTTTTTTAAAGGATGCTGTCGAATCTCATCTCGAAGCTGTATATAGGTTGATGATTTCTCATGCAGATTTTGACAGCCAATTATTTTTAGCTCAAAAATTGAAAGGTATGTAACATCATAGTTCTCATTTCATTCCTTTAATTTTTTTCTTGATCACCCAGTATTTTTTAGCTTTTAGAAATTTTAGAAAATTAGGAAAACTCTTTTTTCCCTCTATATTTTTTGAGGATTTTAATGATTTTTTAGGTTCTCTTAAATTCCTCTAATTTTTGATCTTGTAGATTATGACAAAGTTATCGACGTTCATTTAATGCATATGGACTATGAAAAGGCTTTGGCAGTTTTAACTAGTCAGGTTATTTTCTTTTATTTTGTATTTTGCCTCTTGCCTGTGTTCACAAAAAATTCTTTGCCATATTTCGAAAAATGAATTCTTTTAATATCTCTCCATCATTTCTGATTTGATTGGCTTCACTGTCTACTAGCATGGCATTTCTAGCATAGCATGGCACAAAGTTATTTGAAGATAAAAGTTTGAAATCCGAATTTCAGATTTGAAAAATATCTGAAAAATATCTGAAATTTAATGTTTTCTGCCAATTTTTTTTCAGAAATTGATCATTTAAAATTTAAAATTATTGAAAATTTTTATAAATTCTGCATTATTTGGTTAAAATTTTTTTGTCTTTAATTATAATTAAATACTTAAAGTATTTAATTAAATTATGATACTTTTAATTATATTTTCGAGTTCTTCGATTTTAAGGACTACAAATTCGGTTTATTATGGATTTAAATTAGTTACATTCTTTTAATTATCATCTTTTTAATTTTTTTAAATTAATTTTAATTTTTTAATTTTTTTACGTTAAGATTATTTAAGCATTCACCTCCATTTTATTATAAATATTCGCCATCTTTGATCGAGCATGTGCCTTTTGAATTGATTGTTGCGTGGATTAATGAAAGAAAGAATCTGGTGCCTGATTTGTTATTGCCGGCGTTATATCGATGTCAGACTAATCCAAAAATGGTTAAATATTATCGATTTTTAGAATTCTTTCTAGGTTTTTAAAATAATTTTGTATATATCTGAATTCTGGTGGATCGTTATAATCGAAAAGTTTTAACACAATTACCTGTAGTTTTTTCAATAATTTTTTAGGTAGCTGCTGCTTTTAAATACATTAACTTCGCAATCGATTCAAATATGGCTACCACATCTTTGCATAATTTTATGATATCGCTTTTTGCAAAGTATATTAGTTTGCTTCTTGCTTTTTTTCAATGTTAATTTTCTGCTATTAATGTAAATTTATTATTTTCTATTTTTCTAATATTAATCCAAAATAGGAAATCGTTTGATGTGTTTTAGGCATAAGCCGAATGCTTTGTTACCATACTTCGAAAAATTTGGCCTGGATAAAAATAATGTACCATATAATGTCGAATTCGCGCTTCGAGTGTGTTTGGAAAAACCTGGTTTGATTTTTTTGCTAAAATTACTGAAAATGTATTTATTAAAAAAATGAAATTTATATACTATTATATTATTTATATACTATTGACATTTTGAGTCTCTCAAGTGATTTGCATTTCGTAAGCATGGATTTTTTCATTTTCTAGAATTGCGGAATTGTTGCGTTCATTTATATTGTGTTGATGAATTGTATGAAGAAGCCGTATCTCTTGCACTTACGGTTATTTTTATGTCACCTCAATTTTTTTATCAGTTTTTTTATCAGTTCTTTATTTATAGTTGCCTTTAAAAATTTTTGTCTTGTTTCTTGAAATTCTTTTGCTTTTCTGTCGAAAAATTTTCAAAACATCTTTTGTGGCACAAATCGTTTTATTCAATATTTGCCACTTTTTATAAATATTGAATGTTATAAATATTATAAATGTTGAAAGATTTTATAAGATTTTATTTTTTTTGAAAAAATCTTAAATTATTATTCTTTAATATTTTAATATTTTGTAATCAATGATTTTAGTTTGATTTGGATTTAGCGAAAAAATGTGCTAAACGAATGGTCAATGATATGAGTAGTGAGAACGAAGTTGATGTTTTCTTTCTTAATTCATCTAAAGGGAAATACACAATGGAAATGAGGCGGAAAGTTTGGCTAGAAATAGGTTTTTTCATTTTTAAATTGATTATATTTTCTAGTTCCAACAATTATGAACATTTTATAAAGTTTATTATAGCGAAATATGTGGTTGAAAAACAACAGGACGTTGTTGAATGTATGAATTTGCTGAAAGAATCGAACAATATTATCAAAATACAAGTGATGAAACACAATTTTTTAAAATCTTTGAAAGAACCATTATAAATAATTTACAGCAGACAAGTTGACTATTTGTTTCAGGATGTATTACCTTTTTTCCCTGAATTTGCGACTATTGAATTATTTAAAGAACCTTTGTGTGCTTGTTTAAAGGAACATTCGGGCAAAATTAAGGTTATTTTTATTAAGTAAAGTATTTTATAAATTAAGATATTAATTTCTGATGTATTCATTGTATGAACAGTGGTATCGCAATTTTTTTAGGAACTTCAAAGAGAAATGAAAGAGGCCACTGATATTGCTCAGAAGATTCGTTCAGATATGAAAAAATTGAAAACAAAGTAATTTTTAGAGATTCTAGGATTGTTATTAGGATCATTAATATTTTAGTTCAATAGCATCATTATTCTTGTTGTTCAACCGTTCAGAATTACTTTAAAATTATTTTTTTAAAATCATTTCAATAAAAATTTTTTTACTGGAATTTCAATTTTTTTTTTTTTATGAAAATTAGAAAAAAGAAAATATTGCTAAAGCCAAAATCATGAATAATTTTGTTGCAGTACTTGTCACTGATTAAATATATCTAGATTTACTGTGATCCGTGCAAATGATCAATGTCATTTATGTGGTGAAGTAGCGCTTTCAAGACCGCTTTTTGTATTTGCCTGCCGACATTTCTTTCATCGTGACTGTTTAGAAAAAGAAGTCAAATCATCTTGGACTAATGTGAGTCTATAAGTTGATTCTATTTTCGACCCAAGTAAAATGTGATGCTATTAAGTTATTTTTTTTATTTGTAGGCACAAATTTTGGAATTTTCTCAATTGCTCGAGCGTGAAAAAATTTTAGTGCGACTAGTGGAAAATTTGGAAAAGAATACGAATGAAGTCAAAAAAAAGAAAGGTTTTTGCTTTTTTTCTTTAACTAAGCTTTAAAATAGGATTTCCTTATAGATATTTGATGGTCATCCTTCGAATTAAAAATCCAAATATTTTAGATGAACTGAATGAGCTGTCTGCTGTTCGATCGATGATAACCGATGCAATTGCTGAGCAGTGCATATTGTGTGGGCCAGTAATGATTGAGTTAGTTGAATTCTACTGTTTTTGAACAAGTTTTTCTCAGTCTGCGATAGTATAATTAAATTTATACTTATTTTTTTTATTTTTCTTAATAATTGATTCAAAAATTCAAAAATTACTATTTTTCTTAGACTGGTTCTTGAAGGTCGATTGATAAGCCATTTTATACTGATGAAGAATATGAAGCTGAACTTCTCACATGGTAATTTGTGAAGGTGCGACAAAAAAACGGTTGAAAAATAATTCACTGAATAATATGAAAGACGATTCCAAATCGCTTCTCGTAAGATATTGATACCATCGAGAGATCCATCCCTATTGTGTTTATAAGGATTGTGGATTTTTGGAGTCATCTTGATGTTTCAGCTATTTGTAGAAACAAATTCAAATTCATTTGTTAATTTTTTATTTCCAACAAATTTTCGAATTTATTCGCTCGGTTTCATAGAAAAAGTATATTCGAAAAATCGAAATATGTTACTAAAATAATTTTATATTATGTATATACGCATATAATTCTTTATGTCTTATGAATTACCCAACGTTTTATTACTCAGATTTGGGTTTGAATTTTTATTGATTTCAATGTCGATATTGATGTCAATAAATAAAACGATATCAATTTACCGTTATTGTCGTTATTGTTTTATAATTTATTTATTTTTTACTATTACGTGCCATTAAGGGATAGAATGGCTGAGTGGGTTGTTGCTCATTTCGGAGCGTCGATGTTGAGGTTCTATTCCCCTGCAGGAGAAAAGAGTAAGCCCGTCCAAAAATTCAGGTGGTGATGGAGGAAGCTCACCTGCATTCTGCTGCTAAGGTCTCCTTACCATATTTGCCATATGTCCAGTGCGACAAGCAGTGGAGTGAGTTTAACCCTTAAAAAAAAGAAAAAGAAAAAAATTCTATACCATTATTGTTATATAATAATATAATCTTCTGTGAATCAGATAAATTTTTTTTTCTTTTTTTTTCTTAAAATTTTATTTTATTTTTAAATGAAATTCTATTTTTTTTTTGTCTGTATTTATTTTTGCCTTTGGCGTGAATGTTATTAGATATAGCTGCAATTTGCTTGACATTGCTATATGGCTGCGAAACATGGCCAATGAGGATGGAAAATAAGAAGCTTTGACCATTCTAAGGTACATTTTGCAGATCCGTCGAGCGGATAAAATTGCACATGGTTGTATCCATCTTTACTCAACTCGCACCTGTTAATAATTCATCATGCGTCGCCTTTATTGTTTAGGGCACGTTATCCGCCGTCCACCACAGAGGTTGACTATACTTTCCAAAGCCTGTGATGGTTGGCACCAAAAGCGAGGAGGACCAGTCAAAACCTGGACTGATACAGTCACGAAAGATTTTGAACGTGTAAGGGGATCAGTGATATATGGACTTAGATGATGGGAAAAAGAATGGCTTTTATTACTGATGGCATCTGACAGAAGACTTCTTACCCCACCAGAGCCAGCCTAACTAGTAATGGTGAGAGCTGTTAGAAGAAGGAAATATGAATTTAGTTATTTATCAGTAAGTCCAGAAACTATGGGTAGTTTGAATTTATTATTATAAAACATAATTATAATTAATTATATTTGTTAGGAGTGGTCTTTCTCATTTCAGAGCTTATATGCTTAAAAGATTCTATTTGGTTCTATAATGGTTCTATTTAAATTTTTTTATTGAAGCTTTGATTATTTATCATCGCAGTTTAACCGAATTTTATTGCTTTGCCTATATATTTATATATTTTTTTTATTGAATGAAATCGAGATGAGCTCTCATTATAATAATTTTATAATATATGTATTTGATTTAATAATATATTCTATTCAAATTTGATACATTTCGAGTTTGTACTGCAGTAAAAATTTTTAAAAATTTGACGCGTGTTTTTAAACTTTTTGGTTTTAATTTATTTAAATCTTTTGAGTTGCTTAATCTATTATTATTGTTATTTAAATTTTGGTAAAATAATAAATGGATTATATTTTACATTTCACAAATTTTATATTTTACAAATGAATGTAATAGAATACATTTAGAAATCACTTCATCACTTTTCCTTCTATTGAAATGTGCCTTTTTCATTTTAAAACATTTCTGCCGTTTAGTAATAGTAATGCAAAAACAAAGAGATATTGTGGAGAGAGATGTGCACTTACGATGCACTTAAAATCTGGCTCATAAATCTGAAATATCAGCTCAAGTGGCAACAATTAAAAGTTCCATAAAAGTTCTTATTCACCTTATTAGTACCGAAGAATCATATCAAATGATACGAAATTTGGAATTTTGATCAGAACAATTCGGCGGTATTCATTGCTAGCCCAGTATTTCATATTTAAAACTGGTCGGAAAACACTGCACTAGTTTTTAGGCCATCTCCAGAATTGACAATATGAAACAGAATTTCATCTTATATATTTTGGTTACAGTTTTCTCTTCCTGGGCTGGCATGACGACGATAGTCCAATGGAATGGACTGTATTGAGAATGGATCGATTGTTTGGTACTGATTTGAGAAATTTGGAGCCATACCAAATTGATGAAATGGCATATCTGGAATAAATATGTCTAATATACTAATATGTATTGTAGATACAATTTTTTTATAATTAATAAAAAAATCGCTCGATGGTTCGCAATAATTTATATTTGGGGATGATGATGGGAATAACATTTTATTGCTTCTATATATTTTTATTATTTGCATCTGAAAGTTAGAGATGTGGTAGAGTGGCGTTCTAATCAGATTAGCATTTCAAGCATTATGGTTCCACTTTTACCTTGGACTGGTACAATCCTGTCAATAAACCAGTAAAGGAGATCTAACCAGAATTATTGAACATTTTATAGACATTTGCATTAAGGAAAAGGTCATTTATCTCGAAAAAAATATGCAATGAAGTTAAAATGGAAGATGAATAAATTGTTGAAAGTATATGAGTGAAGAAAAGTCGTTGCTTCCGGAAAGATATCCGTTTCATTGTAATATTTCTCATCGTTTATCGTCAAATAAATAAGATTAATAAATGAGCATACTGTAAGGGGGTCGAAATTGTTGTGGCCTCGTATACATCAAAGCCAAATTCACTGGAAAGCCATATGGGAACGGAAACATTCCTAGAAATTTGCACCATTTTTATAATTTAACATCCGAAAATGCCAAAATTAAGAAGGCAAATTTTACAACAATAATTTAACTTTATCATCACATGAAAAGTTTTTATAAAAGTGTTTAAATTTTTTCTTTTAATCTTGTAATCTTTGTAATAACTTCGATTGTCGTCCACTTTGGCTACTACGCACTGGATAGTGTACAAGGCTATCTCCTGAATGGATTGTAGCTGACAGAAATTCATGACTATTTATTCATATGGAGTTAATCGAATGGCATGATTTCATCTACGTCGAACACCAGGAGTTCGACTCCATTAGAAGTCAAGCTTCATGAGCCCAAATTCCAAATCGCTTGACTGTAGTGAACCATTAAAAGAAGAGATGAAATTGGCCCTAACTTTCCATCTATCCTATACTGGTTTATCCAACTCAGCCAAACCAGAAACAGCGGATGTTAAAAGAAAAAGAAAAGAATCAAGCATATCGAATTTTGAATTATTATCTAATAAAAACTAATAAAATATTATGGAACGCTAATCGAAACGAACGAATGAATTGATCATGATGAAGATTTTCAATTACTTTGAGAAATTTTCATTTAAAAAAATCAACTAACCAGCGTTATACGGTACTGAAGCAGCTCTATGAGGAAATCGAGGATTCATTGGAGATATAATCGAAGTGTAAAGGGAAGAAAGTGGTGAATTTTGCACAAATACTGACGGACTTTCAGAAGACGGCGAAGTGCTTGGTGTCTGAAAATTAAATACAAGCGAAATTCTATTGAATTTGAATTATTTCCTATAAGTAAACTGGGGATAGAATGGCTCAGTGGCTTGTTGCTAAATTCGGAGCGTTCGATTCCTCGCAGGAGCACTTGTCCAAAAATCCAGGTGATGCTGGCGACTCACCGGTATTTCTATAGCCAAGGGGTTAGCTGGTACATTTGTCCAATGTAACAAGCCAGTGGAGCGAGTTTAACCAGTAATGGTGAGGACTTTTAAAAAAAAATTAACTATTTACTGGGAAACTAATGGAAAATTGATAGAATTACATCGAACATTTTCGTGAATTGAGAGCTTTTTTGTTTTTGAAAAGTATTTCTATAAAGCGAAAATAATTTTGCTGTAATTGCTAACATTTTTGCTACAGTTTCTTTCGGCAGCCGATTGTTGCAACAAATTTTCATCATCGTTTTCTACTGCACTTGAATCATAGTTGCAGGTAGTTGTATTACAAAATGGTGAAGATGATGCTGATGATGAAGGAAATAAATTTCCGAGAGAATTTAAGGATTCTTCTGAAAATTGTTTCGTAGCTTCAGCACGTATATTTGCTGAAACTCGTCGGTAGTTTTACAACTATAATTTCAGAAATACTTTTTAACTATTAATTTCAATTATCATAGCCCATTCTCGGATAAATCTTATAACGCTGCTAATTTTTATCCCTGAAGAAAAGGTCCCATCTTAGTAGTGATTCTAAACCAGGGAATTCAGAAATGAGTACTATTTGACGAGAACGGTATTACTATTAATAATACTTACAATTTTGCTTCAGAGCTAAATTTTCCTTACAAAGATTCTTCGAAAATATGAAAATATTAAAAATAAAAAATTTACAATTTGCGATTACGATAGAAAATTGCCCTTTAAGAAAGAATGTTCTTTTAACGATTTAATTTAATGAGAGAATTCTCGAGAAATCTTTCACTGTCCTCAATTATTTTAACTGAATAATTTCCAGCAACCAATGAACCTCTTAATAAATGTTATCTATTTTTCTTGTGGACTTTACCACTTTTCTAAAAAGGCATTGAAAAATCAGTCTAAATCAAAAACAATTAAATATTACGTCAGGCCAGGGAACAGCACCTGTCAGAAATACGCTAACGTAGGGGATAATCCGGCCAAACGAATGCTCTAAACACGGATTGTTGACTTTTTGATTAATGATTTGACTATAGCTAGCAATTCCCCGCAGATATAATTTATTTTCATGCACACTTGATCACATAACCTATTAGATACCGTATTACACTCCAAAATTGCAAGGAAAGTATATTTCTCTCTTTATATTGAATAAACAATTTATTTAAAGATTTAAAGCAATTTAATCAAATATTATCAAGAAAGTTTTTCATAAAACTTAAAAAAAGAATATTACTAATTATTTTTTTGCAGAAAAATTGTAGAAACTTAATTATTAACTGTTAACTTTAAAATTGATAGGTGAAATAATTTGTAGCTGGTCAAAGGCAGAGAAATTCTTGCTATCATTCAGTACATCTATTGCATTTATAAGCATACAAAATTTATCCTACCATTCCATTGTCATAATGCTATTACTTTCACTGATCATTTTCTAAAAGCTTCAGATTTCAAATTTATGTACTTAGTTTTCTTTGATAGGTTATTTGTTATGAATAACAATTAGCAAACAAAATTATTCGAGTAAGGTGAAGAAGTTTAGGATTGTTCGGCACGCAATATTCCATTTTAATTAATGACCCCACTCAATGGTAATTCAAATGTGTTAAAGGTCAACACTATGTTCACAAGAAGTTTAATAGTTTCTGCGAAAGGAATGTATGAGAAAACTCAAGTTACACAGAGTTCGCAAAAATGTCAAATAAGCACGCTTAGGTGCATTGTCTCAATTCGCGCTTCAGCATTATGGTTCAAAAATTATGATTGCACCATACCGATTCCTCTATTAATTATAATTTTATTTAGTAGAATCTAAATTTTAAATATTGGGTCTAGCAAAAATTAAAGAAAGGAATTTATAAGAAAGAAGACACCAATTTTTCGGGAATCCTTCAGTCATTATATGGCTGATTCAACGCATTCCGATCATTGCAAAAAACCAGATACATCCATCCATAAATAAACCCACGCAATCCAAATTCTTAATTTCTTTTCCGAAACCTCGAATGTTTGAGAAAACTCTGTCTTTTTAAGTAAAATCTGGCTACTTACGTCCATCTTGTCCACTTTCTATGCAATCTGATGCATCAGTAGCTGCTTCTGTAGTATTCTTTATTGCATCATCGCCTCGAAAAATATTCAACAACTTATCTGCTAAAAATATTTTGCAGCATATATATTTCAGAAGATAATGACAACAAATTCTTAATGAAATTAGATATACGATGAATGCAGAATTTCTCGTCCAGCTTTCAACTTGAATAATAAGAATTATAGAAACATTGCTTTATAAACTTTTACAGTACCATTTCCTACTCCAAGCAGTAGTTCTAAGTCCTTTGCCTCTTTTTCATCCTGGCTTTGTTGCCTTCTTAATGCCACTTGCGCTGCCATCACTCGCTGCCTTTCTGCTATGAGTGTACATTTCGCGCACATGCAATCTTTCCATTTGCAATATCTTTTGTGTCCTTTAATGGAAAAAACATGATAGCAAATCATTTCCACTAATTTCATAGGAAATAAGGTGCCTTTTAGTTCTTAGATTAAAGTGCTTTTTTGTGAGGAATGACAAAATAATGTTCTTATGAAATCTTGTACCAAATGTAATGTAATTTTTAAAAATTCACCTTTGAGAGCAGAAACCAATCCATGATTACGACATCGGGCACATTTAGGAACTCGCTGATTGCGTTCTTGCCTTAATCTAAGAATCTGTTCGATGTTACTTCTTCCAAGGTCATTTAGAGTTAAGTTTGTTGATGACATTAGTTATTTTGAGGCAAGCATTCACTGTTAGTTTCACTCTAAGTATTTTGTAAAAAATACAGACAAATTTCGAAGTGAAATCTTCACTAGAAAATCTAAAAAAAGATTAAGTATTGAATAAAATTTCGACAAAATATATACATATATATAGCCGAATAACTGAAAAGATAATGTTTCAGATTACGGCGAAGTTCGACTTCCTCGACTCTTCGAAAAGTAACCCTGCTTAAAAGACTTGGATATTACTGATGACTTGTGCCTTTATCGCCTCGCGATTCCTCGGCAAAATTTTTAACCGTACTAACAGCGAAATTAATCGAAAATGGTAAAAACTAACCATTTACTTACTTTACTCATATTACGCACTTCTTCGATGAGTTTTTAGTAAAAAGTGGATATTTTTTAATAATTTTAATAATTTTAGCTAAAACTCCCAAAAAATTTCTAAAAAATATACATCGAAAGTAAATAAATGTCGTTAATAAAAATAAACAAGTTAATAAAGAAAATAAAATACATTCCCAAGTAAATTAATTACTCGATGCATTCATAAATTTTAGCCAAAAATGGGAATAAATGGAAGTTCTGTAAAAGTGAATGATAATTTTAATCGCTTTTAGGAATTTCGGCGATAAAATTTCTGAAAAATTTGAAATTAAACTAATATTGCAGACGAGTACAATATCTTATTTGATACGAATAAATCTATCATTGTTACTAACTCCGCCTGCAGTAATCATTTTAGCGATCTTTTCGATATTTACGCCCCGTCTTCTACAGTATTTCTTATTATTTATTTTTATTACTATATTATTTCGTATTTTATCAATTGAAAATGAAAATTAGATTTAACCTTATGGCGTTTATTGCTAAGGAAATTAAAATCATGATAATCGAACTTTGCAAATATTTAGATAAAGGAAGGTAGTGATAAGGCAAAGATGATATGGACCATCGATATAAAGCTGATTAAGAAAAATAAAGCTAAACTGAATATTATATGGTACCAATGGTACCAATAAACTAACAAATTAGCACGTAAATCGTGATTATTAAGCCTGATAATTAAAATATATTGGCCGACTTTTTTTCAATTATATTGGACAAAAAAGCGCAAAATACCAATGTAGTCATACAAAAATTCAAATGGATTGTCGACAAATGTGAGAAATTAACAGAAATGATTTGATGTTACAAAGACTCATATAATGAAGTGTTTGGTCAATTCGTTGTTGACAATTCATCCACAAAAACAAACCATTATGAAGCACCATCTAAATGTTTCCCTACTATTCAGTAGTTACAATAAAATGACATTTATGCATATCACATTTCACATTCACATTCATTTGAACGCTGAACGAGAATGCAAAGCCTTTTCTTGGATATTACAGATATTTGGGAGCTCTTGCAAAATATCTGTAAAAATTGAGGTATAGATACGTTTTAAGTCCTCTAAATTATTAAAATTCTTCTTCGAGACCTGAAAAAAATGCAAATATTATTATATTTAGACTGTTTAAGATTCAGTTAAAATCCAATAATTACTGCAGTAATACCTTCATCAATGTAGAAATTGGAAGAATAAATTTCTTTTCATCCACGAAGCCTTAATGATTGCTTGTGCAGCGTAATTACTCAATAGCTAATGGGTCATCAGTTACAAATCTTGTCAAATTCTGGCTGATGCAAAGAAAAACAAATGCGGACATAAATGTTTCGTAAAGAAGGTTGTAGTAATCCGATGTGCAAACGTAAATTATTTATTCACTTACATCATGAGCGATGATAATATAGGCTTTGTGTGATTCAGTGGATTTCAAACAACCACTGCTTATTATTAAAGCTGATTCTCGATGAGTATCGTCATTACTAATAGCGTTGAGTAGCGTTGGTCATTAAGATGTCCGATATAATAATATATATCAATCTAAATATTCATTTAATTTATTTTATAAAATGAGATCAAAATTGAAGTGGATAGCAGAATAAAAGATTCTAAAGAATGTCCTTTCTTTCACACTGCAATTGGCATATTATAAATTTAGCAGCAACGAACGAGATCGACTATTTCGAATTAACTTTGCTTTTGAGGGTCTATCGAAAGAAGAAATCGTAAATATAACGAGGACTACGGTGGAAAATCGTCAATTTCATGGATTTGGTTATTCTTAACGATATAAAATTAATAAATAAGCAAAAATTTTCGCAATTTATTTCAACTAAGTCGTTGATTAAATTTTTTAGTGAAAACATTTCTAATAAATTTTCGCAAATTGAAAATTTAAAAAAAAGAATTTTGAATTTTCGAAAATTTCAATTTTGCAATAAATGCTAAGAAAATTTTTTGCATTTTTCCTCTAAATTCTTTTTCATGAATATATTTCTCTATCTATTCTTTTTTATATCTACACTTATTTATTTTTTCATTTAATTCTCATCATACGTGAATTGATAAGCTATGTGATTTGCTCCGCTGAACTGCTACACGTCTTTGTCAAAAAGTTGTTTGAGGTTAAAGGCGAATAGGCATCTTATTGCTCACTGGTAAAGCAATTGATAAGTATTGTTGCCATCAGAGAACAGAGAGCTTGAGCTTCAGGAAAAAATCCCTTACTCCTGGAAAATTCCTTCGCCTTCATTTCTCTACAATTAATTAAACCACTTCAAGGTATTTTATTAACAACAAACAACTGTAAATAATTTATCTAAATTATTTTTCAAATGAAATTTTTTTTCTTCACTAAATCATCAAATTTTTTTTTTGCTTTTTAACGCTAAAATGACTGATGAAAATGGCAGAAATTAAAACAGAAATTTAAGGTTTTCCTAATCATTTTCCTTCGCTTTTTGTTAAGTTTTGCTAAGTTTTTTTAATAGTCTTTCTTTGACAGAAAATCATTTATGTGCGAAAATAACATTTCCGACACTTTTTGCTGCGTACGGTAAATTTTTTAAAATTACTTTGGAACCCTCTTTATTTTCCTTCATCATTTTTTATTTTTCTTGATTTGGATAATTAAATGGAATGAGGTCCTTTAGGTAGGCAATCACTTGGAGATAGGGGCCATCCACAGCATTACCCATTTTTAACCACTGAATTACTCCCGTATTTTTTACCTTTTTATTATTATTACCAGTAAAAAGAAAATACGGCGGAATATCCTATCAAACTCTGGTAAATCGGCCTTCAAAACTCAAACTTTTTAAAAAATTTTTAAAGCCCTATTGTCCTATTTATATGCTCGTCAAATCCACTTGGCGAATAGATACAGCTTCGATAAAATGCTGAAGAGGCTGAAAGGATTTTGAGGGTTGTGAAGTAAATTTTGAGAAAACTGTCAAAAGATTATAATATGGACTAGATGTTTAAGGTAGTCCACTCCACTCACCTCCACTAATCCGAATAATAAAAGAGATGTGGAATTAGAGGCATTTGCAGGAATTTTTCTGCTTATTCATTACTTTCTTATGCACAAACATAGAAGCATATAGACTTTCGCGTAGCATAAATTCGAATGCGAAAAACACATGGATCCATCCTGCCTACACATTCATGTACATGCGAACGTTTACGGGCCCATAGCAAAAGCACAATCATATATATTTATATATACACCCATGAAGGCCTATACAACATAAGCATCCATATGAATATCATCCACATACATCTGCTGGGAGGAAAGGAGAGCCTTACGTTTGTCATAGCGCAGCTAGACAAACCGCAAACTGTTAGAAGAAGAAATTATTTTAGTTAGCCTTATATCAATAAAACCAAACAATGTCTTGAGCGTAAATCGCTGTTTGATTCTTAATAAACGCGAACTACATTTTTCGCTTTTAGACAAAAACTTATAGAGGAATCTGAAAATCTGAATTTAAACACCTGTAAAAAATATTTTTCACAACGACTAGGCAAACTGATAATTTAAAATTAAAAGAGACATAGCATAGCATTACCTCAGGCAAAAGTCCTTGAATTTTTGCATGGAATGTTTCAGACTGCACTCAATAAATGTTATAGGCAATTATATTAGTGTTACTCAATAAAGACCTTTAAGTTAATATGAAAGATTTCAGATCAGCTTTTTAGTTATCCTTTAGAATTCTACCGAATGAACAACTGCCTTTCGGCTCATAAGCAGCGAAGCCCAAAGTATAACAGCGCAGCCTAGAACGCCAGTCGAGAGTTAGACGATAACCGAGCACTCTTCGTCTAAATATCGTATCTACTAAGAGGCACTGGCTGTATCATTGTGATGCGAATAATTAGGGACGAAATGGTATAGCGATATCCAAAAGAGCTCCATCCGCTCTACTTGCGTAGAAGCCAGTTTGTGTGGCTTGCTCTTAATTCAAAAGGAAATTCTGCATCTCTCGATCATCAGTATATATGTTTCTTATGTACAGAATGACCATGACAAGGATAGACTCTATACCTCAACTTTTATCCTTGCCGACAAATTACATAACCATCATCTAAGGAGAGTGAATGCCTAAATCATAATCTTGTCATGGTCAGATTCATGCTTCGCAAATATGGCATCGAAATTCGATGAGAAACGCTTTTTTCACTTTGCCTGAGGGTATGGATTTTTTACTCATATATACCTACACATGCTTCTGGTACCGGAAAATATTTAATTATATGAAATTGTTTAAATAATCAATGTCCCAACCAGATTGACTGTAGCTTAATCAATCATCTTTAAAAGGGTTTTTTACTAGACTGTTCCTGTGGTGCTGAAATCAATAATTTGCACGGACTAGGCCATGCCAGGGGCCGAGTCAAGATTTGTACGTCAATTCCTCTTAAACCTTTTAATTATGGCAAGATTTTAAGAGAATAACTGCAATTGAAATCGAATTATCGAAATATCCCCAGTGATGAATATTTAACGCCTCTGGAACAATCGATAAATATTTGGATCCAACTGAAGATATGTCTTTAAAGCTTGAATAAGAACACTTTAGGAAAAAAGAAATTTTCTGAAATATCTATTATTTATGATGGACAAGAAAAGAATAAATAATGGTGCTATGTATTTCTTATTAAAACATAAGGCCTATTTCTAGTGGTAGTTCGACTAATTTTTTTAGGTGATTTCTAGTGCTAATTATTATAATTTAAAAAAAAGCTAGATGAAGTGTTTTAATTTCAATCAAATTTTTGCCATAAATATTTTATCTTGAAGGTATTTCAGATAGGAAATCTGAAATCAATGATAGCAGTTATGATATC